ATACAGATTCACCTTTCACATTTGAAAATTTTCGTTTCTCTCCCTGTAATCTTATTACAAATTGCTCTTGGATTAATGATGTCATGCTTTAAAAATTTTTAAATGACTATTTTGCCCTTTTTATTATATTTCTTCTCCCATTATCATGATTACATTTTACAACTTTTCATCATTAAATTCCATATGAACATATTCTTATTGAGTGATGATAAATATAAATTTTATATAGAATTTTCAAACACAATGATATAACTTAATGTGACCTTTCACTTTAAAACAAAACACCCATAAATATGATTCATATTTACAACAATATCACTCACAACTCGTCTATCTACTAACATTTATTATAGTATTACCAAATACTATCATTAACATTTATTACAGTATCACTAAATTTTTGTATTTTGTATTTTTTATTTTTGTATTTGGTGAATTTAAAAAAAAATCACAAATAGTACACTTCTTGAGTATATCTAGATTAGGTGTATTTAAAAAATAAAAAATTTCTTAAAATAGTAGAAAAATTCAGTAAAAATAAAAAATATGAAAAATAAAATAAAAAACTCAATTTTTTGTGTGAATTAAACCAAAGAAGATGTTTGTTATTTCCCTTGAAATGACATGAATAAAATGTCTATATTATTTTATTATTTTATATGTATAAAGGCTAAGGAGCAAATATGTCATTTTAATTTAATAAGGAGTAAGTGTAATTTTTCAAATGTGAAAGGAAATTTGTATTAAATAAAAACCTCAATGAATGTCAATATAATTTACCCATTTAAGTATTAGTTCAAGAGCTTTGCTTATTTTTTAGTGGATTTTACAAAAAATATTCATATTGCATATTAATTGTTAATTATTTAGATATCTACGAACTAAGGTCAAGTTTGGCAAGTCTATTAAAAGTTAAAAAATCAAAAAGTTATTCAAAAAGTTAAAAAGTTAACACTATTCACCAAAAGTCAACAATTATGGCTGCACAACTCCCAATCCTATTTTTTTCCTACACACTAATTTATATAATTTTTTAATACACATTTTTCCATAAAAAGTCAAAAAATTAACCCAAACATCCGTATTATTTCTCTCAATTTTTTAATCTAAAAAGACAAAAAATACACTTATTTAAGACACCCCAAACAACCCCTAAATCTAAAAGTCTTACCATGTCAATATTACATTTTAAGTGTCATTACCATTAGCTTACTATCTTCTTCTACTTTAAGCAGTAAGAAAAATATTAAAAATTTGTTCTTGTACTTACATTAATAATTATAGAAAATAATTCACTTTATCCCTTATAATTTAACCTATATGCGAATTACTCCCATTTCACTTATAAATAACCATAGATGTTTTGTGATTTTGTAAGCTGAATTGCATCGTTAAATATTTCATCTAATTTCACAGCAAGTGTGAAATACGTGCTAGATATAAAGGGTTATGTACTCATTTTTAAATTTTAAGAAAATAAATTGCACATGAAATAAAGCACAGGGTCGAGGTGCATTTTGCCTCTCAAATAAATAACAAAAATATTCATAATTCACGCACTTAGATTACTTGTATATATAGGTATTTTAGAATTTTTCACTAAATTGTGTTAATGAGCCTAACAGTGTATTTCAATTCACAAAGCACAAGTGAGCTATATAGCTGTTTCCAAATGATAATGGGATCGTCTACAAATAAGTTAAACCACAAGGAGGTGAAGTTCAATTTTTCCTTAATAGAATGTAAGAATTATTTCAATATCAATTTTATAATAAATTTAATACGTAATTTATAATAAATATCCGATACTTGTCAAAATTAAAAATATATATATATATATATTTTAAATATTAAACACAAATTTACAAATAGGGTAAATTATAAATACATCTCTTAAAATTTGTTTAAAATACAAAATATTCCCTTTAGTTTAGGAAATTAAAAATATTACATTGTCAAAATTTTTTATTTAACAAAATTACTTGAAAAAATAAAATTTCTAACTACTCTCCTAGACAATAATAAAATTACTTAAATTATTAATTGAAATAAAATTTTGAAATCATTAAAAAAATTATTAATTGACTTAATGATTTATTAATAAAATGGACAATTTATTATGAAATTAAAAATTTCAAGAGGTTAGATATAATTTTAAAAATCACATTGGAAAATTATCTTTTAAATAAATTTTAAGAGATGTATTTATAATTTATCCTTATAAAAAAAATAAAGGAAGACTTATTTATAAGTCCTATTTCGGACACTTATGCTATGTTAAGTCATGTATAATTTCTTATAGAGTCTCAAGTTCTATTTAGATAGGAATGTATTTCACAAGATCTTATGAGTTGTAAATAAATGGTATTAATATACTATCATACATTATAATGGCAAAATCATATATAGCAAAATGAATGTTATCATAGAAAGTAACATTTTCACATTCAATTAAAAAAAATCAAAAACTTAGTAAGTTTGCGAAACGTAACGTGACACGTTACGTTACGTTTATGTAGGTGTCACGTCACGTTACGTTTATGTAATGTCCCATCTGATATGGTCACGTTACGTTACGTTTATGTAATTGTCACGTTACGTTTCACAAACTTAATTTATGGTAACATTCAATTTACTATATATGATTTTACCATTATTTATGATATTAACAACTAATATTAAGGGTAAATGTGTCAACAAACTTTACACAGGACTTATGGGAACATAAATATTTTAGTAAAACCATATGTAGTATAAGTCTTCTTAACAGAACTTATAAATAATTTTTTCAAAAATAAATATCTAATATAGATATAATATGAGTACAACTTGTTTCTATAAGCATCCGTGTCATGGATTCAGATATAAAAAAAATAAAAAATTATTCAAATTTTATATCAATAACTCATTTCATTTCATATATAAATTTTATACTTCAATAATTCAATTCTCATCACACATATTCATTTTTAAATAAATTCCGAATCCCAAATTATATGATCCTAACTTCTCAGCACGAGTTCAGACTGAACTGATGATAATTTTGGAGTGAAGTGTTGTCACGTTCTTCAATTATTGTACTGCGGAAACCAAATGTTCATAATGTGATCCTAACTTTTCAGCACGAGTTCAGACTGAACCGAGTTACTGATGATAATTTTGGGGTGAAGTATTGTCACTTTCTTCAATTATTGTACGGAGACAAAATGTTAATAATGGACAAAACTACTTTACATTTTTTTTTGAGTCTCCCCCCTCAAAAAAAAAAAAAAAAAAAAAAAAAAAAAAAAAAAAAAAAATTCAAAACTCTAAACAATGAGCTCTAAAGAAGCTATGATAAGTGGATTCTACTCATTAATATGATATTTAGATTTTTTTTTCCCCTATTACTAGTTCATTAGAGTTGACTTTAAAAGTCATTGCCTAAAATTCTCTATCCTTTCTTAAAAAAAGAAAAAAAAAGAGGGGTTCACCGCCATTTATGTGTATTCTTTTGATCATTTCATTATGACCCCACTCATGCTCATACGGGTAGGGGTGTGCGTGGTGCGGGGTGCGGTTTCAACGTTTTGAAAGTAAAATTATAAATTGAATGACGATTTAACTGATTAATAGATTGACAAATTATGATTTCGACGGTTTTTGACAGATTGGTGGATTGAAGAATATTCTAACTAATTATCATACATTTGTATAATATAAAACACTAAAATCTCTCTATATTTTAACCAATTATTAAGTCTTTGCATAATAGATAATACTAATTTGTATAATATTTTTCATATATATAACTACTAATTTATAATAAATTTCACATCTTAAATCTATCTCACACTAATTTTTACTTTGATATTTATTATAAGTTAACAAACATATCTGTATTAACTATAACAGAGCGGAGCGGCTTCAAAGGCGGATTATAAATTTTAAAATTTAAACTGCAGTTAGTGTTTAGAACGGTACGAATTAATGCAAATCGATAAAATGTTATCGGATTATAAGTGGTATTTTACACCACCCTACATGCTCATGTGATTCAGATTGTTGGTATTAGGGACAATTACCTGAGAATATAATAGAGAGAGCAAAAATATAAATTAATAAAAAAGTTTATAACATTAATTATTAATATTTGTAATATTTTTATTTTTTAACAAATATATTTTGTTGACACCGTGTCTGTATAATTTTCTCCTAGTATTATCACTTCTTTTAAAGCTCTTTGATAAGTCATGTTAGCGCATCTTTAATGATTGTTGTTATAATATTATTATTATTGTTATGATTTAGTAATAAATAGTAATAATTTGTCAAATTATAGTAATGATACTCCAATAGTACAAATGCTATTTTGGCAAATCTCTACCAACTTTCCCTTTAAATTTGTAGGTGTTGTTTGGATATAGGTTTTTTAGTGATTTTTTTTTATTTATTTTTTGTCTTTTGTGACTTTTTTTTTTTTTTTTTTATCTATTTGTAAAAAAATTATATATTTATAGGTGACTAGACAAATATAAAAAATGTAAAAGAAGCTGAAAAAATAAATTTAAATACTTAAAATTACATTGGAACATAAAAATGACATTGCAAATAAAGACTAAATATTACATTAAAAAACAAATGACATTGCAAAATTAAAAAATACATTATCCCATAATTATTCATCAGGAGGCAGGGGAAAATAGTAATTTGGGTTGCTGAAAAAGGCTTGTTGTGAAATGAAATTGAGATTCAAGGTTTATATTTATAAAAAAAAAGGAGACGTTTTTTATAGCCGTTGTAACATAAAAATATGACCGTTTATAGTTGTTGTGCTTATGTTTCACTTGTGTTTTGAAATAATTTTTATTTTGTTTTAATGAACAAAATGGCACACTTGGATTAATCTTGGAGGTTGATTATTGAACAAGATCTCAGTCGTTGGATTGTTATTAATCAAACGGCTGAGATCAATCCTCTAGAATGATCTGCTCAAATTTGAAGACAAACCCCTTTGCTGACATTTGCTCTCTTTATCTCTCTACATCTCTATCCTCTCATCTCTCTTCATCAGTGTTGCCTCTATTTCCCTTACTCTCACTCTTCCCCTAGTTCTCAGCTTCTTTATCACTTTCTTCCACAAGAACCCCTTGTCTCCCAACTCTCTGTTTCTTCCACTGTTTCTATTTCTCAACTTCTCTCTCCTTCCCATCTCCACAAGAACCCCCTGCTTCTTAGCTTCTTCATTACTTTCTTCAGATCAGAGAGAGAATTTCAGATCAACTTCATCTTCGTCTTCAGATCAATGCATTTTAGATCAACTTCATCTTCGGATCAATTTCATCTTTGCATCTATGAGCTTCGGATCGATAAGACTTTCTCTCATCTTCATCTTCGGATCAACTTTCTATCATCCTCTCCCTCTATCTTCTCTCATTCAAAGTCGATTCTCTCTCTCTCTCTCTCTCTCTCTCTCTCTCTCTCTCTCTCTCTCATTCTCCAGAACTATCACTAGATCATCCACTTATCCCTATCCCTTGAAGCCTTAAACCCCCTATCTACCTATCTTTCAAAGCCTTAACCCCCATCTTCAATCCTCTTCTCCAACCCCCAATGGTCATATTCCTTCAAATTGGCCTTCTGATAGAGAAGATGAATATTGGAGAAATTTGTATAAATTCAACTTTCAAAGCCAGGTTTTTTTCTTCTAAAACTTATTTGAGATTATTTGAGAAATTCATTTGTCTTTGTTGGTATTTTTAAAGATGATATTCCTGTTGGTATTTTTCTTGTTGGTATTTTTGTTGATATTTTTCATTTGAGAAATTCATCTGGGAATGTCTGTTGATATTCATGTTGATTATTTGAAGATGATATTGCTGAAATTTGGTATTGTTGAAATTTGGTGATTTTTGCCTTCGTGAAATTTTTCTGGGAAAGGCACAAATTGGTGAATTTGGTGATTTATTTTTTAGACACACCTTGAATTAATTGGTGAATTTTGTTTTTTTTAAAAAAAAAACTTTAAAAATTCTGGAAAAGTCCCAACTGAAAGGGAAGGAAGGAAGGAAGAAAGCAGTTGATTTTTGGGTGACTTGGTAGATTTGGCAACTGCCAAATAGGGGTGTAATTTTGGCCCAGCTTGGCCCATCCCATCCAGGCTCTGGCCGGGCCGGGCCCATGTCGGGCCTTACAGGCTTCCGTCAAAAATCAGGTCGGGTCGGGTCGGGTCGGGTCGCGAGCCAGAAAACTAGACCCAGGTCCAAGGGTATTCGGGTGGGCTGGGCTTCGGGTTTGGGCCTGGGCTCAGGCTTTGGGTGAGCTTAGGCGGGTCTAAACAATTTTTTATTTTTATTTTTTCCACCAAAATTTTAATATTTTTCATTAAAAATAACACTGGGCCTCGGGCCAGGCTTCAAAACGATGGCCCAGTCTCTAGCCCAAGGCCTCGGGCTAGGCTTGGGCTCGGGCCTAAATGGGTCGGGCCTACCTTGGGCCGCCCGTGGGCCACGGGCCAAAATTACACCCATACTGCCAAAGTAGCTGCCAAATGTGGCACATGATTTGACAGTTGCTATAGTATGCCATTGGAGAAACCATTTTTGCCCAAGTTGCTATGGCTTTGGTAGCTGTTTTAGCAATCAATTGGAGATGCTCTTATAACACTAGCAATGTGTCCATACTATGCGTTAAAAATTCCTTTTAAAGAAAAAATAATAGACATAATTTTTACTATAAAATATGGAAAAAAATTTAGTAAAACATCAATCTTTAACATTGTGTAGTAGGAGATATTCAAGATTTTTTTTTATTAGCTAAGGTCTCTCAACATTTTTACAGAGAAAATTCGACTCAGAGAAATTTTGCTCGACTCAGAGAAATTTCTTTGATATGATCATAGAGAAATTTCTCTATGTCAGGCAAAATTTTTCTAAGTCAAATTTTCTCTATGAAAATGTTGAGGGACTTTAACTATTATGAAAATATTGTATGTCTTTTATCTTATAAAATCTTAATATTAGGGATCTAAAAAAAAAATCTCCAAAAATATGTTTGTCTTAAATTTTTTTTAATAAATGATCTTTAGACTTGATTTTAAATCATTACATTTATTTTATAACATTTCACAAGGGGAGTGTGAATATTATTACCATTTTTTAAAAAGGTTTTCGGATGCTAATGCCTTAGATGATTAAATGAGTCATTAACATGATACTTTCAAGTTTTGTTTGTTTGTTTGTTTGTTCTTTAGAGTTCAAGCTATTTGACATACATATCAAATTTTACTCTACTTTTTTAATTATAAAAATTAAAATTAAAATTAAAATAATATTTGGACATGTTGTTTGGTAAGAGTTAAAATTGTAAATTTCATTGTTACTATTTAGATATTTCTACTTTACATGTTCAATAATTAAATTTTTTATTGAAACTATTTAGACTTCATGTTAAGTTTTTCAATATAAAGCAAAAAACGTAAAACAAAATGTAGAAAAAATACATTACGAAAATGTTGGTTTTGATCAATATGATAATATTTCTTGCACATTTAATACTTACTATTATATATAACTGAAAATGTTATTGAGTCGTTAACGCTCAAAGTCTCGATGCAAATTTATCAAATTATTAAATTTGTAAATTATAAAAATATACATCATGAATGTGTTGGTTTGGATCAATATGATAATATTTCTTTGCATATTTAATTTCTAAACGTTAAATCTAAGTAAGAATAGAGAAATTGAGAATAGCTTGAAAATATCTAATATGAAGTTTAAATAGTAACAATGAAAATTTTAATTATTGAATATGTAGAGTTGAAATATAAGTGATTTAAATGAAGTTTAAATATCATTGTTTAAATTAAATTAAAACAAATACATTTCAGGCTGAAAATATGTCCATTTTTTGGGGTAAATTACACTTACCTTCCCTGAGATTTTTGACAATTATAAGGATCTCCCTGTAGTTTCAAAAATCACATTACCTCCCTCACTTTTGAAACTATTGTTAAGATTCTCCTTATCTATTAAATTTATACAAATGGCGTTAGTTGAGTGTGAAAATAACTATATTATCGTTTGATTTGCAAATGAAAAGAAGAAATACCAATAAATCAAGAAGCTTCATTCATCATCAACATGGGTAAATTACACTTACCTTCCTTGAAATTTTACATATATATTATTAAAGACCTATACATATTTTAGCATTATTTAATAAAGTTCTTAAATTTTATGCAATATTAAATAAAACCCTTAAAATACTTAAAAACAAACAATGTCTCTAAAATTAATGTTAGATAATATTATAATAATTTTATACTATAACACTTATTCCACACTACATAAATAATGAAAATTTATCATTTTAAGTAATACATTTTTATTTGATTTTTTTAAATTCGAAATAAATGGATTTATTTATTTATTTGGAAATTTGCATTATTTATTAATTCATATGTAAAAAAATTATTATTTTATCTTTTCTCAATCATATATTATTCTCAAATTTTAATTTTAATTTTTGAGTTATTAAATTTCTAAACGGGGTGTATTTAAAAAAACACAAGTTAATATTTCTTACACGACTAAAAAAAATTAAAAAATAAATATAGAACTAAATTTTTTTTTACATCCATTGAGGTTTTTGACAATTAAAACAAACTCATTAATTATCAACATTAATCTTAACCTTAAATGCACTAAATTTAATTTACCCTATTAAATATATATGAAATTATTATTTATTTTTTTATAACTTTTTCAAAATATAAATGTAACTACTTGAGTCTATTTTTTTCCATAAGTTTTTGAACTTTTATAAAAAAAATAAAAATAAAAATTCAACCATTAATGAAGGAGAGAAATTAATTTTAAGCTTTAATTTAATAAAAATAGTTTAAACGAGATAAATAAAGATGGAGAAATAGATTTTAAGAATCATACATAATTAATTGAGTATTTTATTATTCTTAAATAACTTCTCCATTTAATTGAAGATTAATTTAAATTTTAGATGTAAGAAATGACAAATTATTTGAATTGTTTATTATTCTCAAATAATTTCTTAATCCTTCATTCTCTGTTAATTAATTTTAATTTCTTGTGAGGCGTTCATATTTTTTTACTTCTATATATTTTTAATTATGCAAGAAATATTAACCTGTGATTTTTTTAATATGCATCGACTAGAAGTATGACTCAAAGATAAAAATTAAAATTTGGGAATGATATATGATTGAAAAAAAATAAAATAATAATTTTGTTACATATGAATAAATAAGTAATGCAAATTATCGGAAAAAAATAAATTCATTTATTTCAATTTAAAAAAAATCATATAATAAATGCATTACTTAAAATGATAAATTTTACATTGTTTATGTTGTGTGGAATAAATCTTATATTAAATTATTATGTTGTTATCTAATATTAACTTAGAGAGATTGTTTATTATTAAGTATTTTATTAATTAAAATTAAGTTCTTTTCATTAAATAATTTAATAATGTCTTAACAATTCAAAAGTTTTATTTAATATTGCATGAAATTTAAGAATTTTATTAGATAATGCTAAAATATATAAGGATATTTGACAATATATATGCAAAACCTTAAGGGAGGTGAGTGAAATTTCTCATTTGAATAGTGTGATGTCCTGGGCCATTACGCTACTTATTATGGTGTAATTCAAGTTATTATGTCAATTTTGAACTATTATTTTGTTCCAAAAACTTGCCTTGCGATTTAAAGACATTCTTTTGGAGCTGTTGTAGACACTCCATTTTTGACCGACCTCAAGACTTAGACGTCATCGTCTGTGCACTCGATGATTGTGCTTGTTTTGAGCGTCCGAAGTTCTCGGCGGAACGCTTTGTCTTTGAGCCTCGAAACCCTTTTTGTTTTGTGCTCGTTTTTGGGCCAAACCTTGGCGCCTTTTGCCTGGAAGGAGGAGGGGCCTTGTCGGCCACTTTTTGGCCTTATCGGCCACTTTTCCTCTTTGTTGACCACTTGAAGTGGTCAGTCGGCTAGGCGAGGTGGCCGGCCGGCCACCTAAAGTAGCCGACGACTATTTTTCTCATTTTTCAGATATTTTCTTAGCCAGTTGTGCCAGCTGTTGTTCATTGAATGCTATATCCATACACGTGTATGGAGGGATGAATGCAAGCCTTTGACTTGATTTTCTATATAAGGAGAGGTCTCTCCCCCATCTTGAGAGTTTAGACAATTTTGAGAAAATCCTCTCTCTCTAGATTGTTTGAGCCTAAGAAAGTGCCTGTTTTGTGCTGAGCTTCAAGAGGTATATTGCTTACCTTGTAGGCTTAGTTTTAATCATTTGCTTGGCCATCTTTTTATACTGTTTTCGGCCTAGTTTTCAACTACAAAAAGTTCTGATTTTTGAGCCTTAACATGTTGGTCTGAAGCCATTTTGTGCTAAGGGCTTGTTTACCCTTCTTGTTGCTTATTTGTATCCTTTGCACCATTTTTTAACATGTTAAAGTCAAAATTTTTGGGCCTTTAAACCACTGAAATTCAGAGTTATTTCAGTGGTAAAAAGCATGTTTTGAAGTCCAAAAATGGAGGAGTTAGCCTCCCATCCTTGTGTCTCACTTCCATGCCTAGTTAGCATCATATGATAGCATGATTTGTGGCTTAACTTAGCTTAATGTCAGCATGTTTTAGGCTCAGTTT